TTTGCTAACACAGCTTTCAAAGGCTAGCAAAGAAGTCTTGACAAAAAGATATTTTCCTCCTTATTTAGGAAAATGATAGTTCAACTTGAGACTGAGGTTAGGTAATATCCTCTGTAATCCTGTAGAATTGTTTTTATTTTTCCTTGAGCTTTCTTTTTTTTTTTTTAAAGCTAAGCTAAGCATTAGTAGAACATTTTGTTCTTTATCTTTGACAATATCAGACATGCCTGACTTAGGAAGATACTAACAGAAGCAAAAATTACTAAATATTTCCGAAATACCTTACTAAATTAATTCAACTCGATATAATGACAACAGGGATGAGAGTGTGCACTGGCAAGTAGTTTTCTAGTGGAACACAGAAGATGAGTATAAACCGTAGTTTGGATATTTTAGCATTTACATGGCAGTTTTGTGTTGTTATTATTTATTATTATTGAAATAAATCCTTAGATGCTTTGATAAAGATTTCTGCTAGAGGAGAACTCTCACCTGACCTTAAAAGCAATTTTGGCAGTCCTTTGTGTAAGTATTGGTGCAAAATAAAATGTGCAGTAAGCATTTGGATGTCCAAAAAATGCCTTTTGCTTATTAAAACTGAGATGCTTTGAACATCATGAATATTAAGCAAACTGGTTCTCTTGTGGTACTAGGCCTCCGGTTAGGAGGCTGTTTCAAAAAAAGTGTAAGAAGACATGAAGTGACTTGCTCAGCTCTCACCTCCTTTACAAGAATTCAGAAAAATGTGATTTTTCTGTATATATCTTTCTATAATTATTTCTCTGGGTGCATAAAAAAAAATGAAAGAAGGAAAACTGGAGTCTTTATTTTCTGGTAGAGACTCTTGATTGGAGTTGGCATGCTGTTTTTGATAGAAGGCAAATGTTTGTTAAAATTGGAAAGTTTGTTCATTTGTTGAAACTGGACTCTCCTATGCCAAATGAAGGGACTCAAATTTATCGTTTAGAACCAAGTAGCCGTGGCATCCTTCCATCATATAATAAAAAAGAACAATCCAGCGTGGCTCAGGAGAAGTAGCAGAGATGGACAGATGGCATTCAACAGATTGCTGGTAGTTAGCTTCAAAGTATTTGAAGCTAGAGGGGGATTGCGAAAACTTTCAGAAGTTCTTGTAATATTGCCAACATTCACAGAGAATTTTACTTTGTGTAGACTCTACCTTGTAACTCAATTTAAGACTGTTAGGGAAGCAGTAATATACATTGGTAGCCCTAAACTTTTTACAGTACTTGTTTAAATTCTGTTGATGTCATGCAGTCTTTGCCATCTGATGTAGAAGACGAGGCACTGGATTGCATGTCACAGACCTCAGCTTTAATTCTGAATCCGCCACTGACTGTGTAACTTTGGGCAAATCATTTCTTGTCTTTTCCTGTTGTTCGCCGCTAACTAATTTGTTATTTCAGGTTAGCTGCTCTCCTGGGTGAGAATTCATTTAGTCTTTTTTTGTTTTTTCTTTTCCACAATGCATTGAACAATGTAGCAATTATATAACACAGATAAAAGTGTCACTGTATTCGCTTTTTTTTTTTTCCCCCCTCAGGGCATGTACGTCTTCTTGCATGCAGTAAAGGGAACTCCTTTTGAAACACCTGATCAGGGGAAAGCTAGGCTACTAACACACTGGGAACAACTGGATTATGGAGTACAATTCACATCTTCAAGAAAATTCTTCACAATCTCTCCTATAATTCTGTGAGTTCTAAACTACATTATGATGATTTGAGGCATAAAACCCTGATTTCAAAAGCTTTGATGAAATGAGCTGCAATTTACATTTTAAAGCATATTCTCTCTTTTTTGCTTGTTCGTATCTACATCAAAGATGTAGGGAATATGTATTTACAGACCATATTATCAACAGTCTTCCTTCCTGCAGCTTTCAGTACTAATTCATGTACTGAAGTTGAAATTTTAAAACCCATCCCATTAATAACTGTTTACAAAATTAGAAAGCTTGTGAGGAAAACTTACTATTAACCCTCAAAGTTCTTTCAGAGATTTTGAAGTCACAGATACTGAAAAGCTAAACTAATTGCCTTTAATGCATATACATTACTTTACAGCTTTTATTAACCATTTTGGATCTTGTGAGTTATGAGGGAAGTGGCAGTGTGCACTGAATTAGGCCCATGGTATTCATGTCAGTTGTGCCTTGTTCAGATTGTCTTGTGTACACTAGTTATGTAAATAGACTGATTGGAAACTCTACAGCACCTGTCTCTGTTGACAAAAGTATGGTTGCATAACTGAAAGAAATCAGATACGTATTTTATATCCAGTCCTAAAAAGTTTGTCTGTTTTTCCTATAAGGAAGTTGTCCGCTGGCTTGGCAGGGTTGGGGGAGGCGTGAGGGAAGATATGGTGTTGTGTACAGAAAGTTGTTTCACAAAGGATAGAGTATGAAAAAGGTACTTATAACTGCTCAGATAATCCTCTCTTTCTTCAAAGATAGCTTCCTGCTCGACAGTGGGAATTTTGTATTCCTAGCACTTGTATATGGTTCTCTTCACGCACCAAGAATGTGTAAGAAGCTGAATAAATGTCTCCCATTTGCTGGAAGAGCAAACAAACAACCCAAATGTGATAACCCCACTGCCATGACTAGTTTTTGCAAAAAAATAAGATGAAATTATTGGTTCAATGTGTAAAAAAAAGTATGTAATGAATTGAGTTCTGAGTCACATTCCCTCACTTTTCCAGTTGAACAGGCTGTGGACTAGCTTTAAAGCAAATTGTGTTGGAAATGCAAACCAGACTGGAAGCATTTTAAGATCATCCCGCTCACAGATGTGCTTAGCAGAACTGAGTTTTGCACTGAAAAATGTCGAATGGTTTGTTACTGAGTTTGCAAGGGTAGCTGAAATGCACATAGTTTTGGTAACAGCTCTTATACCATGTAAAGTCTGTATTACAAATTGGGCTTATAATTCAGACACTCTAACTTCAGGGGTGGGGAGAAATGCTGGAGGAAAATTCTACTTGAGAGTTGCTTTCTAGCACCTTGAGAACAACTGAAAGAAGATACTTAGTCCATAATATTATTGTATGGTGTTCTAGAACCCAAGGTGAGATACAGGAATATATCCATTGCTAGCTAGTAAAATATATCTGATTACTGAAGCACCTTTTTCAAACAGGCTTTGTTGGTGTTTGTCGATAAGGGTGTCATCAGCTAAGCTTGTTCCCTTTTCTCCTGCAGGTACTTTCTGGCAAGTTTCTACACAAAGTACGATCCAACACACTTTATTCTCAACACCACCTCTCTTCTGACAGTGCTTATCCCCAAGCTGCCGCAGTTGCATGGTGTTCGAATCTTTGGCATCAATAAATACTAAGCAGAAGGTGTGATGCTGACCGACCCTGACATGGCTACTGCTTCTTGGGCAAAGGAAACAAGTAGTCTACTGTGCCATTCGTCTAATTGTATTCGATGAGAGATGCATTTACATCTGAGGTACAATTACTACTTCCTAAAGCATTGTCCGGCGTGAAAGTTGGGTTTATAAGAAGACGCCTTCAAATACTGAAATGTGAAATGGAAACGTCAAGAAGAAAGATTTCTGTGAAGAACTGGGCAGGCCTAGCTCTAAAGCATAATCAACACTAAAGACTGTATGAAAGTCTGGCTGATGCAAGTAAGGAAGCTACGAATAAATGCTGAAATGGAGAGTGATGTTTCACAGATGCCCAATCAGCCGTGACACAAGTGATAATCTACTAAATAAATCCAGAATTTTTCCATTGAAAGGACTGGTGGGGCTACTGTTGTAGGATAGTTAAAAGTAGCTGGTTACTGCTGTATGGATTGTAGATGGGTGTGTTTGTTACTGCATTGTGGAAGTTTGTCTCACAGTAAATACTGTGACAGTTGGTATAAAATGGTGGTATAATTCATGCCTTATCTGCTCTTGTGATTTTTGTCACAAAGACCGAAGAAAGTCCTTAACTGTCAGCTCAGGGGATTTCTACATCAACTTGGTAGCTCGGTTTATGTATGCTTTTGCAAATTGTCACTCTTGCATTTATTTCATTTTGCTTACCAGAACGGTGATTTGTCTGTGTAAATGGGACATCCTGAGAAACTGAAATGTCTTTTAAGGTGTAGCTTTTTGACTGCTTTCTCTGATACTTGACTGCTGGATTATTTTTCAGTAGCCGAGAGACCTGTAACAGTGGGGGAAAGGGTTGCTGTTGTTACAGGAGAAGGAGCTTCACTCTAGAACAATATCAGAATATGAAGAGAAACTGTAAATTGTAAGGTAGAATAGAAGTGGAACTAGAAATAGGTGAATTGACAGATTACATGGCCTAACAGTATGCATTTGCAGAAAAGGATATAAATAATTTGCATGTCTTGGAAACGTGCAGGAATACTGCATTTTAGGGGTACCGTGTAGTATTGAGTAATCTTGTATATAATCAACTCTGGAACTAGAATGAAGGAGGTACAGCTGAGCTCTAAGTGCTTATTTCTGTATCCTAGCAAAAAAAAGGATGAATTTTTAAGTATACCATGTGGCTTCCAGACAGAAGCGACTCAAGATTTGACAGAAGACTATTTAAGACTTGATTTACATTTTGGTTGCAATGACAGCCAGTGAGGGGGAGGACAAAAAAAGCTCAGTGGTGTATTTCTTTTCTTGCTAAGAGAATGTTCTGGCAATGTGTGATAAATATGTTGTTTAAAAAAAATGTTATTGGAAGTAAAAAATGTCTTATTTGTGCAAAAAAAGTGGTAACTGGCTATTTTTAAAATAACATCCATCACTACATTACACTTGCCCCTCAAAAATGTCACTGAAAATCCATGTTTTGTGCAAAAGTGCCCACAACCAGAGGACACAGACTGGGTTATCAACGCAGCGTGACGGCGGCTGGTGGCGGTTAGTGGTGAAAGTGCAGGTGGGACAGAAATAGGAACCGTGGCTTCGCCGCTTTAATTTTAATTTTAATTTAATTTAAAATGTGCGAGCTGCCTGCCCCCTGTGGGCTGGGATGAGCGCGGCCCGCCCAGCCCCAAGATGGCGCCGCCTCCGGCCGGCCCCAAAATGGCGGCGGCTCCGCCTGCCGCCCCGCCCTGTCATGGCGGCCCACAGGCCAGCGCTGGCTGGAGGCTTTTAAGGTCGCGGGTAAGGCTTATTAAGAAAATATTTCTTCCTAAGGTCTTAAAAGCCACCCGTAGTTTACTGGCTAACGTTCAGAGTGCATAACTTTGAAAGTTATAGCATATCTTCACAGCCACGCATGCTTTAAAATTCTTTCAGAGCAATACATACTACCGGTATATTTTACCTAAAAATCAGCACGCGAATTTTAAATCTGTAGGAGTACTTGCTTGAGAACCCTTCAGTAGTAATACATTGTACAATCCTTTCCTAGACATAACGCGATAAATGTTGAGCCATGAAGAGCATTGCCAGGAGCCTTTTGCGAGCAGCCAGGTGCAGCCCGGCTGGGGGGCTGCGAAGCCGCTCTGCTCACTGTGGCAAACTGCATCGCCCCAAACTTGTGCTGGGAATAGAAACCAGCTGTGACGATACGGCTGCTGCAGTCGTGGATGAAGCTGGCAATGTGCTGGGAGAAGCGCTGCAATGTCAGAGGGAAGTCCATCTGAAGTAAGAATATATGGCTCACGGGGCTTTCTTACAATACTGTAGTTGTGGCTAAATATACTCAATAGTAATTTTATAGTTACACTTCCATGTAATATCATCTATATAAAAGTATTCTTCAGAAAAGTTGATGTGAATGGATATAAAGACCTATCTTTTGGGCTCCAACACATACTGCTTTAGAAAAGTATGAGGAAGGAAATGCTGTGCATTTAACAAGTTGTTTTTTTTGTTGTTTTTTTTTTGTTTTTTTAATTGAGACAGGTTACTTATCTCACTTGATTAAACATTCAATTACTACTACTACTAAAACTGCCATATATATGTTTTAAGGGAAAATTAATCAAAAATAGGCATTAGTTACTAAGTACCTCAACTGATGAATGAAGGACTGTGAATGTTAAGTTACAGACATTGCTTTGGAACAGCACTGAAGTATATTTAAAAGAAATGTATACCAGAAAAGGGAAAGTTACGTTTTTTGACCTCCCAATGATGATTACACTCTCTTCAGCAATAGATGTTCTTTAGACTAAACAAGGCATTCTCAAATGTCGTAAGGAACAGGCAGGATCTGGCAAGATCAAGGTGTTATAATATCACATAAAAATATGTTTTTAGTTATGAAATACAAATATATTGCAAATACTTGTTTTTAACTAGAACAGGTGGAATAATTCCTCATGTGGCACAGCAACTCCACAGGGAAAACATCGAGCAAGTGGTGAAGGAAGCACTTAGTGTCAGTGGAGTTTCTGTAAATGAACTTACTGCTATCGCGACTACAGTGAAACCAGGACTTGCGCTAAGCCTGGAGGTGGGACTGGACTACAGCTTGAAACTGGTGAACAAGTACCAGAAGCCCTTCATACCCATCCATCACATGGAGGCTCACGCACTTACCATTAGGCTGACTAATCAAGTGGAGTTTCCTTTCTTAGTTCTTTTACTCTCTGGAGGCCACTGTATCTTGGCAGTAGCACAAGGAGTTTCAGATTTCCTTCTGCTCGGACAGTCAATAGATATAGCACCAGGTGACATGTTGGATAAGGTAATGTTTTCACACGTAAGTGAATCTACCTGTTTTTATTGCAGCTACACTGCTCAATCACGCTATTAGGATCAGCCTGAAGACAGTAATATAGTGTGATAAGAGCTTTACCTAACATTCTATTTCTCTATTTTGAATAGATAATATATTCAATATTGATAAATATATTGATATTTAGCAGTCAATGTGTGTTTCCTACAGCATAAAACTTGGCTAATTAATGCTTCCTGCAAAATTTGATGGTCCTCGTGTTTGCCCAAATTATTATAGAACTGCATTTCTAATTACTCTAGCAAAAACATCCATGTGGCATTATATTTTGTCCATATAGTGCCCTGTTGATAATTTTATCTTGATAACATTGGATTTTGTGGTGTCTGATTTCACTCCATTGACCGCAAAACAGTTACGCGGTTACATACACAGAAGAATTAATTTAGCTCCCTATATTGATTCTGTTTATCTCCTCAGGTAGCAAGAAGACTCTCTTTAATAAAGCACCCCGAATGCCACGGCATGGCTGGGGGGAAGGCAATAGAACACTTGGCTCAAACTGGAAACCGGCAACAGTACACGTTCAGCCTTCCCATGCAACGATACCGTAACTGTGATTTTTCTTTTTCTGGACTTCAGAACCTCATCAATAACACCATTATACAAAAAGAAAAAGAAGAAGGTATTTTTAAAGTCAGATATGAACCGTGTGCTTGATGAGCTGTACTCAGGAAAACCCCTTTGATCATACATTTCTATAGGTATTCAAGAAGGTGAGCTCCTGTCTTGTGTTAAGGATATCGCCGCTGCCGTGCAGCATGTAGTAGCCATTCATATTATCCAGCGGACATATCGAGCTATGCTTTTCTGCATAAAAAATGGCATCTTGTCACCAAAACATGCAACTTTGGTGGGTATACTTGAGTTTCTTATTTATGTTACGGGGCATGTTGCATTTTCTACGTATGATAACATAACTTGAAGATGTAGTTGCCTTGTTACACTGTCTCCCTTGACAAAAATGGTAATCTGGATGGGTGAGGGAGATTGACAGTATGTATTAAATTCCCTTAAAACACTAGGATTAAAGTAATACTAATTTCAGGTATTCATATGACATCTTTTATACTTGGTCTTATGCTACAAGTTTTTGTTGTTTTTGCTTATTTTGTTTTACCACCTAACCTGTAACAACTCAGGCCACATGCTTTGATCTAGTGCTAACCAGTACTAGGTAGCTGTTCTATTATTTATTGCTGTCTTCAAAATTATCTTACTATCTTTTTTTTTTTTTTTTCCTTTTTAAATATAATGCTACTTAGAATGCTATCAGTAGTTACTTTTGAATTAAGGCTTTTTTTTTTCTTTTTAAAATTGCTGTCAGGTTGTATCAGGAGGAGTTGCAAGTAATCAGTATATCAGAAAAGGCCTGCAAGCTCTGGCAAATGCAAATAGTTTTGCTTTTCTATCTCCTCCTCCAAGACTCTGCACTGATAATGGTGTTATGATTGCATGGTAAGGACTGGTTTTCTTTGTATTTTTCTGTAATGTTCTTTAGAATTTGACAGTCAAGAATGTTCCTCTATGGTGACTGAACTACATACACTACACGTACATTTTTACATAATTATTTTCTTGCTTAGGAATGGCATTGAAAGATTACGTGCAGGACTTGGTGTTTTAAACAGCACAGAGGGCATCCGCTTCGAACCCAAGTAAGTACTCAATTATTCACAGTTTATTTCTTCACTTATTCACTGTACTCAGTGAAAGTGGAAGGAGATAGAAACTGATTAGTAACTTTGCAATGCATATAAGGTCTGTGAATCTGCACAGCCAAGTGATACAGCACCACCATCTTACTGCAGCAATACTGTTATCTTAATTACTTTTATCAAATATACTACTTTGTTATTTTCTAGAGCTCCCCTTGGAACTGATATTTCAAACCAAGTTGAAGAAGACTCTATCAAGGTGCCAAAACTAAGGAAGATACTACAGTTGGCAAGTTAAGATGTGACTTAAGGTAAATGCGACCAGAAATGGTTAAGCGAAAACCATTTCAAAGCTGTTACACATACTGATTTTGCTTTGCTTTCTGTTGTTGAAGATCACCTGTTGGAGAAATAAATGCTGTGTGGTATCACCACAATTATTCCAGTTGCTGTAGTTGCTGTTCTACAAGTGTCTAAGAGTTCTAGGTATCAAAACGATAACAAGGAAGTACATTTTCTATTAAACCTAAATGTAAGCGAAAGTACCTCCATTGCTTATGCCTACTTGATAATTTGTAAAAAGATGTAATTACAATACATATCATCTAATAATTTAACAGTATAATATATAATTTATATAAAGTAATTCAAATTGCATATAAAAAATCATACCTTCTGTGAGTGAGAAGTGAAGCTGAGGAGGTATGATAGACACTGAAAATAACAAAAGATACAGAAAGGGTGAGCCTAGCAATCTATTCTCTCATGTGTAGAAAGGGCAGTTAGTAAAACAGGTTCCTCAATCACTGGGGCCTGTAAAGTAAGGGTTAGGAATGCTCTACAAATAAAATCCTAGAAAGGTAGGGGAAGGGACCTTAAAGACCACCTTCTCCAGAGACTACTATTTCTTTCTCCCCTATAAATGCCTTCATAATGAGATCCTACTAGTATGCATTTGTATTAGTTGGATGACTGTAAAGTCAGAGTGTGTAAAAAAAAAAAAAAAAAAAAGACCAACCAACCAAACAAAAAAACACAAAGATTTACTGAATGTACATTTAGGATAAATACAACATTTTGGATGCAGCTTTATAATTCATCTACTGAAAGTAATTTCAGTCGGCTGCAGGTGTCAGATGCTTTTTCATTGTTGCTCTCCAATTTTGCAATCCGAGATCCAAACTGTACAGCCCTTTTTGGCAGAACAGCTGAGGCTTTAAGACCAAGCTCCTTGGCTACAAGGCGCAGAATCAATTTCTCACCAATTCCTCGAGGTAAAGTCAAGTCTGCTTTTTCTGAGATAGGCAGTGAATTGAGGAATGAAACAACATCTTCATCAAGAAAAGGAAACCTAAAGACAAAGACATACATAGCAAATTATAGATACACCTTAAACGTTGGTGCCAAGTCTCCAAAGCAGGTATACTGTGTGAGAGGAAGAAGGATTTAAACACAGGAGCCCTCAAGTTTTCAAAACTGATGCTCGTTCTTGCTCTTTGCTTGAGCTTAGAAATGCTGGCTTTATACCAAGGGAAAAGAAAAAAAAAATCAGAAAAACACTATGAAGGAAAAAGATAAGTTTTAAAGTAACGCTTGAAGATAAACATTAAAGTGTTAAAATACTACAGGAAGCTATGCTGTAACTTGAAAACAAAACCATTTACACACTACATTCTCACAACCTTCTGAGTTCCAGGCATTCATAGCTAACCACAAATGTTATTAGCAGCATGAACACAAATTAAACAGAATTAAGAGACAAAAAAAGTGCACACAACTTTCAAACCGAGCTTTCTCTCAGACTGATAAAACCAGAATCTAACCAGCAAATCCAGTTTTGCTTCATGTTAAAACAATACTACCTGGCTTCTTTTCCGTGATCACCAATAATTCTGTCATCTCTACCAAGATTTCTAGAAGAAATGCGTCCTAACTCCATTTCAAGTTCTTTATTTAGACCTTCTAAGCCGTATTTTTTGAAGCAAACACGATGTCGAGAATACCCAGCAAGTTGTTCATCTGCTCCAATGCCTGTAAGCACAACCTAAGAGAACAGAATAAAAGAAATTTTTGTTGGCGTCCGTGCAAGCTAATAATAAGTAACAGACCTTAAATGCTTAAGTACAACACGATAAGGAAAGTAACTTTAATATATATGTTCTGTATATATTACTACGGTGATGGCACGTTCCTTACATATTTACACAGCTTACCAGTAAAGCCACTTGGTAACTTTAACAGGTTCGTGATCAGACCTAAGAAGTACACACATTTATACTCAAGCAAGCAAAAGAAACTGAAGTACTGTGTGTCAGAAATGGGTATCTTGGAAGAATGTCAGTTTCTGTTACAATAAACAGCACCTGCTAAGCACCAGCCTTTAAAAAATTCATTGCCAGAGATGGTGCTATGTCACTTTAAGTAGTTACCTGAATGTACACCGAGATTATATTAATTTCCCAGCTACTGGGTTAATAACCACATTACACCACGTAAAAATATTGTTGTCCTGTCTACTCAGTGATATTCACGTAAAATATCCTCAACACTACTCTACCTGATCTTCTACTGTGCCTTCAACAGCAGCTCATTGTATAATAACCAGTCATGACTAACCATTTTTTCAGCGTACTACTAACGTGCCACTAGCTAGTTAGCAACCACATTTACCTGCACGCAGTAGCCACTGATAGGAGAATGAGATTGTCACTTGGGTTTGGAAACTCACACCCCATTTCAGCATATTCTGGACCTGCTGTGATTTTATATTTTGCAAATCTGAGATGCACAGACTTGAGCAGAGCAGTCAACTAAATAATTAGTGATTTACAAGTGGTAGTTTTTAAGCACATCATAGCATCACTCCAACAGCTTCTATGTTTTTGAATTGTTCTGAATATAAAGCATCAGGAAATTGGGTAGGGATGGGGGAAGGAATGAACGTATTTTGTATTTTGAACAGTCATTCAATCAGACTGTAATTATAAAAGATTCAAAGTAGTCATCTTTTCTGTCATTATTAATGTCTGTTTCATCATGTACATTTGTCTAAAGGAGCAGCTAGTAATTTTACAACTTCTAGGTGCTACCACAAAACAGTATCACTTCACTTTAATTAAAATTTCTCTCTAAATTTATTAAGCTATTCAGTTGGATTGAGTAACACTTCTCTACTACTGAATTAAGACATTGAGCATGAGGTGCTGGGTGTTATTTTTTCCTAGTCACTGTTGCTTATTCAAGCTTACTGAACAGCTACACACATTACAGGACAAAGGAACTGAACAGGTTTTAATTCCAGAATTATAAAAAGATTATCAGTCCAGAACTATCCTGCATTCAGCCACTGAATTTCAGAAGCGTCATGAGTATTAAAAACTGCTGCTAATTTCTGCAATGGAACTATTTTCACAGTCAAAAATCAAGTGTAAGAAAGAAAAAATAAAATAAAATAAAATAAATCAGTACCTTTGCAGGACTTTTATATGGTTTTATTTCTCCTTGTTTACTAACAGACCCCTCCCCTCTGGAAGCAAACCAAATTGCACAGCCGATGCTGTCATCCAAGACTGTATCCAGTGGATAAATCAAGTGATTAATGCGTTGTTGTCTCATCTCTTTCAATTCCTCTAGCGTAACATTAATTTCCACAAAGTTCCAGATTCTTGAGGGGTTAAGGGCTTCTAATTCTTTCAGTCCTGCCCTACCAGTGATTCTGTCAGGGACATCAAAGCAAGACAAATGACCACCAGTTTTAGCATCCGTCTCTTTACAGCTTTCTAGACAGCTATGCAAATCAAGCCTTATTTCTTGGTTGCTACGTTTTTTAGTAGTACCCTTTTGCTTAGCTTGTTCTTTCATCATGAAAGCTACGTTGAGAAGATCAATTGGTTCCTCCACAGGAACGTGGCGATCAGCAAGGGCTGCAAGAACCATAGAATCAACACCACCAGAAAAGAGCACTGCAACGTGGGCTTTCCCATGAGAAAGGCTTTGAACTTCTCTTGTTTCCAGTTCTTCATTTCTACAGAGTAATAAAACCCGCCTCTTCACTGCTTCATTTAAAACATCAATAAACTGATGGACTAATTTTTTCCTGTGTTCCTTTGCAAGAAATCCTTGAAGAGTGTCAACAGAAACCATAGGGGTAATGTCACTAATATTAGTGCTTGCACATTCGTCTGAGGCTTCAGAAATTGTTTTATTTAAGGGGATAACCGGTGCTCTGAGACATAGTTTTGATTCATTCATCACAAGAGGTATGTGACTTGGTAAGTCTTTTGAAACTTGGTCCAGAACATTAATGAATATTTCTTCTACTGTTTTCTCTGAGGAGCTGTACTTCCATGGAAAGACTGCTAAAGACAAAGATTTAGTTGTTGCCCAAGCTTTGAGATCAATTTTGAAAATTCCAGATGCTGGGACTTCTTGATATTGGTTACCAGATTTAGAATAAACACTTACAGATGTGAGACAGAAAGCCCCATCAATCTTATTACTGAATTGCCAAAGCAAACTACGACGACCGAAATAATCTCTACCAAACCATAAACTGTGTTTAGAAGCCTGATAATAAATAAAAGACCATGGACCCCGAAGCGATGAGAGGAGCGACAAAATGTCAGCTTCATTACTGCATAATTCAAGATGACGAAACATAACTGCAGTGTCATTTTCTGTATCTCCTACAGGCAATCCATTGAAAATTTCTCCATTCCAAAGGAAAATACAGTTATTGGCATCTTCCAGAGGCTGAGGAGTCAGTACTCCCCTCAAGTGAAGTACATGGCCAGAAAACAGACACTCATATGACAGATCAGACGCAGTTTTTATCAACTGTTGGCTACTGTCTGGTCCTCTTCTTCTCAGACAGTGGTGCATGTCTTCATTAAAGGAACCATGAACAGTGTGCTGGCTAGGCAAGGTAACAACACAACAAATACCACACATCGCGACCAAATTCAGACCGGCTACTTCTTGATTTTAGTCTTCTCTGAATTTTCCATCTCCTGATGTGCCTTCTTTAATTCATCTAATACAACTGTGTGATAAAAATACACAAATAATTAGTTCCAGTCAGTTTAGGAGTAAGCAAGTTTAAGAGCATATCTAAGAAATGAGTAACTTTAGCCACTTGTTCAGTTAAAGAGATGAACATAAAACTCTTGAAACAAAAGGTTTATAATACTGATATAACACAGTTAGTTCACTGTAGCCTATTTGTCTTCAATTACACAAAGTTTATGATTTTTCACCTCCTCAGTGGAAGCCACACTGGAAGTTTAAGAATTGAAGAAATGGCCAGCTATTGCCTACATAATCAATAGGATTTACAAGTTCATAATAAGTGAACTGTTAAAGTGTTAATGCTGTAAATCCAATCAAAAGAAGTGAATTAAATTAGTGGTTGTTCATTCCAAGAAGTCTATTTATACATTTTTAACCTGTTCAACCATCAGCTCTATTTATCCTCCATTATTCTGCTTTCCTGATTCCACAAATCCAGTATTTTACACAGCTGAAATTTTCTAGCCTAGCTTGCAGTTCAGTTTGTCGTTATTTAATTTATATTCATTCCATAGAATTTTGGGGATTTTTTTTTAAAAGAAAAAAATGGGACCAAGTGCACACAGATTCACAAAGGGCACAAATAATAGCAACTCCTCTGCAGGGGCAGATGTTCTCCTTCCTGTCTCAGCACTTGCTTTTGTATCGTATGCATATCATGCAGAAACATTTTCACATTTATCCAACCCAGAGAAATAAGCACCCCTGAAGCGTATGTCTCATTTAACATGCAGTTGCCAGTTTTTCATATTAATGTATAAATTTTAAAAGCTACACAGAGATCTTTTAAACAGTTAACTGCTGGATTACCTTTTACTCTGCAAACTTACTTTTGCATTGAGACAGTGTTTCTGTTCGGTCTGCAAGGAAGAATATGTTGCTGTTGGGTTGCTGCTTATAAACTTTCTGTAAAACAAAAACAAACTGCATTAAGGGAAAGTAACAAACTCAAGCAACCACACCTCAGCAGAAATTGATGCAGGTTCACTGAAATATCCTTCACTTTTAGGTCAGAAGGGTTACTTCTACCCTGCTGACAGCAACGCTCTCATGTACATTTCAAAAAACACTTCATGGTCAGCCTACTCCTATTTTGCATTTGTCTCTTCCTCATGCTTATGGGATCATATTTTATTTTAAAACATATAAACATGAGAAGCAAGAATATTTAATGACGTCTTCTGGTCAACTCAGACATCATAACTTAGATAAAGCATTAAGAAAAATACCTCAGTGCCACACTGTATTACACTGGACAAATAGCCAAATGCAAATCTGTAAGTACTTACCCTGTTCTTCTTCAAATTAGAAAGCTCATCAATTATAACTTTCTGCTCTTTAATCTGAAAAGCAAAAAACATAATCCAATTTAATTATTACAAATAAACTATTGTGTTATAATCCTGGTGGGGAAAAACCCTTACCCATATTTTAAAGACAGCTACAAGAACACACAGTCACTGTTCCCTGAATGGACTGTTGAAGTGAAAGTGGACACAGGAATGAAAAAGTGGCATTAAACTACCCTTTATTCCTGACTGCAATGCTTTGGGCCAGGTAACTGAATTACCGTTTGCAGACCTCTTCTGAATTTTAAATGAAGAATACACCTGTAGGCTGGTGAAGCAGTACTAATAACTGCTCTGGGAAGGGGCTACCTTGCGGGAATTGGCATTTCCCCTATCCCCCAAAGCAATCATTACTGGGAAGCCAGAGTATGTCTAGCTATTTATGATCAATATCTCTACCTATTTATGATCAGAGATCACCCCCAAGAAAACAAAACCAAAGCAAAGCAATGTGCGAACAGCTAACAACAAAAATATCAAAGAACTTTTGGAGACCAAAGTTTAGCATAACCTCTACAACACACTTTATAATGACAGATATTCTCCAGATTCAAAATGAAACGGACAAAAATAAATACATACATTAGAAAATAAAATAACCCCCCGTTCCTAAAACTGTATTAAAACTGTCCCACCAGACACAACAGCGGTGCCATCTTTTGCTGCAGAGTTTACAGGCTGCAAAACTTCCGTGCTAGCCCTGCACGGCTCCTCAGGCGATTAAGGAATGACAGAAACCCCCCGGAGCTTATAGGACAGAAACTCAGCCGCGATTATGTGGAAAACCCCTGAAGTTTATAGGACGGGGCCGCGTGGTAACGCAGCCCCCTGACAGCACCGGCCCCCCTCTCCTCCCCACGGCAGCCAAGTGGCTTCACCACCCGCCTCGCCGCCCCTCAGCTCACCCTGCGGCTCAGCTGGTCCCTGGGGCACAGCCCGGCGTTGTCCCCATCGCCTTCCTCTTCCTCCTTCTTCTCCTCCTCCTCCTCGCCCCGCCGCGCCGCCATGCCCCGCTCCACACAGGGCTTCTCGCGCATGCGCGGCGCGGCCGCCATTAAGGGCGGGAACGGGGCGGTAGCAGCGCCGCCGTGTGAGGGAGGGCGGGAAGGGGAAAAATGAGGGAAAAAAATGGAAAAGAAAGAAAAAGAAAGAAAGAAGAAGAAAGGCTCCGGGCTGCAGAGTTTGGTATATGCGTCAGGAGGTTGCAAAGCAAGACCAGTTTTTGAAGTCTCCTTGGTTAAACGAGCTGTCCCCATTGCCAAGGGTAGCGGTTGGACGCCTCATCCTTTTGCGCCTCTTTCCCAGTTTATTTAATGCCCCCAGCTTGGGGTGCACATCCAATATCGGAGCAGCGGTGGTGTGTCTGGTCTGGACACCAAATGAGAGGCAGAGCCAATCGTTTGGGACTACCAAACTGCAGCGTTTGGAAACAGTCACAAAGGCTGGGACTAAGAGAAGGCGGCATGGCGAGTAAAGCAGCGAGGGGCTTCGTGCCCAGGGTGTGCAGCCCCTCAGAGGAAGCCGAAATGAAACCACCACATGGGAAGGTATATTTTTATCCCCAATTGAAGTGTTTGCAAACAAAAATTGGTTTGGCAAGTTCATTGTGCTGGGCACGTGTAAAACAAAAATCTCCACCTTACCTCTCACCCTGGAGACCTTTTTCTGGCCTCAACTCATGCTTTGTTGGCAGTTTAAAACAGGAAGGAAGCCACTAAATGGCTTGTGTCAGGGTTGCTGAAGGCCACAGCATTGTCAGAGGTGGTTTGTTCAGTGATTTAGTGGATCTCTTCCAATTTCGTGCCATCAGTGACTGGAGTCCAGCTCCGGTGTATGGTATACTGGTACATTATAGGGCTCTCTTATTGTTCTCTTAGAGAACAAAATGTTGTGATGGGGAGAATGAAACCCACAAAACAAGTAGATCAGTATCCAGAGGGAAGGGAAAACTAACCTGCAGCCCATGCGTGGATTGCATGAATTTCTACCATGTCAGGCTAGAGCAGCTGTTGCTACAATAGCTACGGGTGTACCCACGAGCAAGTCCAGCAGTCTCTTTATGCAGTCAATCTTACAATTTATTAGACTGCTGATCGGTTGGAATGCCACTACAGTATTGCCACCAAAAAGAAATGCAACTGTTGAAATAAATACTTGTATTAAATGATTTTATAATATTGGCAAAGTGTGCCAATGGGGAGGCATTTTGTGCTCACATGTTTTTGAAGAGATTTAAAATGCCTCAAACGATACAAACGCAATTATTAGAAAAAAATGATTCAGTAAATGGGGCCTCGTTCTGATATGGCACCTTTAAAACGTGAATGCCTCCAGCAACAGGACTTATTTCTGTCATAATATTTATGTGAGAAAGCATCAGGCTGTGTAGTCATCATATACTATCTCCTGTATTTTTGCTTTGTTGCCAAAGTAGATTTTGTTTTACTGTGATTCTGTTGGGAATATGAGCATTGAGTGGTAAGTCCCAGTCTTGATTTGACCATCAAGCTTGATAATTAAGCCCCAGTCACAGAATCATTATCATAAGAGACAGAAAAAAAAATTCTCTTGGCTTTACTTTCTTTACTTTGATTATTTAAGGAGTACAGATGAAAGTGCGGATGTTTCTGAATAAGCACCATTTTATCAGTCAACTTGTAGTTTATGAGTGATGATGTAATCAGTGTAGCACATGAATTTATCTGCAGTTTCCGTACTTTGATGGCACTGGTCTTGTCCTTGTCAATGAGGTGCGTGCCGTTGGTGAGCCCTTTTTGTTGTCTCTTTAAGTACATGTAAGAGAAGCACAAGTGAGGCCTGCATGATGAGGATGCTTACTTGAAATTGACATTCCAGAGGAGATATGAATTCTGTGATACTTACAGATAGTAAGATTACATAGTTCGCCCCATGATATGATGGTCTCAGTTCTCTCTCCTTCATTCTGCTCTAGGTATATTGCAGTGATGCATCTGTCTTCCTGTCTTGCAAATACATCAGGGAAGCAGAGAGTTGTTTAAGTGGCAGGATGATGAAAACGCAAATAATAGTATCACGATTCAATATCATAAATAAATTTAGGCTGAGAAATGGAGAAGGAGCCAAGTTAGTATGACAAGAATGTTCTGAAAATGATTTATTCTAAGGCAGAATTTTATTTGGCTATGAAAGAAATGTTATGTTCTGATCCATGGTGACTGAAATGTGTATCTCAAAAAATCAGAAGTCTGCTGATTTTCATGGAAAATAGAGCATATATTTATTAATGAGTAATAGTGGAGGGCTTAGGTAAGACTTTATTAAGCAAATTGATGTAGGAACATTAGTGTTGTGTTTTTGTTTGTTTGTTTGCTTGCTTGTTTGGTTTTGGTCTCATTTTATCCCTTTTCCTGTCCCGTGGAGTAATTCCTTTAATCGGAGCACCTCCCAGCCGCCTGCCGGCGGCGCATGTTATTTGCTGTTCTGTTACAAAGGTTGGTGATTAAGTAACCCGGTAGTCAAAGTATAATTTCTGTAATGACGATCCCTTTCATGCTCGGTAATAAACACAGTTAATGTTTATTCATCAGAAATGTTGTTGAGATTGTTACATCGGTTGGTTCGTGTATGCAGGAGTGAGTAATGGTCTCGAGGTGTAGCAGCCGACATGGAGCGCTTTCAGCTCCTGGTCCTACCACGTGTTGTGGATACGTGCTGATCGGAACGTGCTTTTGAGAAGTCCTTTTAAAGATGAGTGGCTTCCTACTGCATCCCTGCTCCTGAACGTACCCACGTTTTACCCGCAATAAGAGTAGCCTCGTTTAAAACCCAACAAAGGAAAAGCTCTGCACCTTTCCTCTCCTTGTGCAGGCCTGTGAGGTCAAAAACCAGCCTCACTTCAGGGCTGCTCCAGCTTGGTGCTTCAGGTGTGCCCGCGTGTGAGAGGTGGGGGGGTGAATGCTCTCACCAGGTCTAAAAGGTGAGGTTGGCAGCTCAGTGGGCAACGTGGTTCCGCGATAACAGCTCTGCTCAGCCTGCCTCTGGTGCTCCGGGCTATTTTTAGCATGAACCTATTTCGGGGAGGTAAACTTGTAAGGTTCATTCAGTTCCCAGAGGGGGCAGGCAAGTGTACATGTACAAGGAGGGGAAGTACTCAGCTGGGGCGGGGGAATGAGCTGTTAGCTGCTCCAAGTCTCCCAAGAGCCTGGAAATTTTTGGCAAAGGGGCTGGAGGTAATTTTATCCCAACAGCAGCCTTGAGAAATAACAAAACAGGAGAGCTTCACCAATGCTTTCCCCTTGCTCCACGGGAGGAGTACTGGCTGGGAAAGGATTCCAGCTGCTGCCAGCTGGGCCGCAGCCAAGGCGGCCTTCATGTGTGCTTTCCCTCAGGTTTCCTCCTGCCCAGGGGATTTTACTTCCTACCTGGAGGACTGCACTTCCTACCCGGCGTGTTCTCTCGCAGGTGACACAGTAGGGGTTGTCGTCCACGTGGGTCACAAGCACTAAGCAGACAGGGCACTCGGAATTCTTCTCGTCTACATAGCTAGCTGAGTTAGACAGGAGAAAACCATTTCTTTACTGTCTTGCAGACACTGGTAACTACTCAAATTTACTTTGTCTTTGTGATGCTTGAAAGTCGTTGGAACTAAACACAGGGCCAGGACAGCTGTAGCTCTAAGGCTGGCCACAAGAGAGCAAGCTGAACCTGTGCTGGCTCTGCGGCAAACCCAGAGCTGGTCAGAGACAGAACAGAGCCTGGGTTATAGGACGGGTAGATAGGGGAGTGAGTGGTCAGGTGGTATCTGCATTGCTTTTGTCTTTTTTGGAATCTTTTCCAAAGATTTCTGATCCTGGGTTATTGGGGGTTCTGACATTGCAACTTCAGGATCCACACGAGTAAATTCTGAGGTATAACAACGATCTCTACGTTAACTTCTCTGTCACACCTGTATCTTAGTAACTTACTAACTCATGCCAGGGTAGTCCAAGAAAATTCAAATTGCTGAAATTAATCAGTGTAGCTTCACAGTAATCCTTTTGCTAATTTGATTGAGACGCTGGGATTTGAAGGAAGTCAGGTTAGTTTACACAACTAGGAATCTGGATCTTTGTACCTGAATCTATGCAAAGTTGTGGTTTGTTTCCTTAGGTTAAGTATCTGGATTATCAGTTGCACAAGAAACCTTGCAAACCCTCTAATCAATCTGCTTTAAAAGTCCTATTACTGCAAACAAAACAATCTCGGAGCATTTTGTGAGCTTGTAGCACAGCCAGGTTTTTTCAGGATCTGCTTTTGATACACTTTTAAAGCAATCAGTGACCTCCTTTGCACAAAACTTCTGTGTTGATCAGATGCAGGCAATTCTTCATTTTCCAATTAAAAGCAGAATTTCATCCCTTTCACACGGAATGTTTCCAGGCTATTGTGAAAGTAGTTAAGAACTTGCACAGCATAGTCTGTTAATAGTTTTTTTATATTCTGATTACATTGCTTAAAGCTTCCGAGTGCATTGGAGCTTGTTTATAAAGATATTCCCAGCATAGTCTTTCACCTGATGATTTAAACATAAAAGGTCTAAAAATAGACTTTTCCAAGTCCACACCATGTTCTCTGGTGTAAAATTGAGATATCCCTAATGAATACAAGGTCCTTTCTCCAGGTCTGATGTCGCTATAGCTGAGAATGCAGTCTGAACTTTAATTCTCATATCTTTCCTTCCTTAGTGCAGAACACCTTGCTGTGCACTGCTGAGTTCACATGGGCTGTAGTTTTACTTAGTAAAGTAGAACAAAAAGATTTGGGTTGTCATACCTCTTATACAGACTTGATAAACTGACACGGCATTCCCTCACATATGCTAAATAACCAACACACAGCTTCACTTTAGTAAGTGTCCAGTTTGAGAATGGGATCAGATCTCTAGATATACCTTTTGAGCAATGAATGTTCAGGCATCTTAAAAAATTGAGTGCTCTGTCTCGTAACGACAACCATTTTGTTTACAGTGCGAAGCCTGGAAGCTGGAAGCCCTTCCTTTGATGCTGTGAAAGGGCATGGGTGTGAGCAGCTCCGAACTGCCTGTGGACAGCAGATGGA